TTGGTCAAACCAATTTTCAAGACATTTTCAGAGACTGCCCTCCTGTACTGGACACGCAAAATGCAAGGACTCCAACACTTCGAGACTACCAGGGTAACGTTATTCCAATTGTGGGAGAATTCTGTGTTCCAGTTCAGTTTAGAAACCGTTCGGCGGAGCTGCCACTCATCGTGGTTCAATCAAACCGAGCGAGTCTTCTGGGCAGAAATTGGTTCGCAGCGCTTGGCATTTCACTCACGGAATTCATAACATGACAGCTACAGTGGATTACGAGAAGGAGTATCCCCAAGTATTCAGTGAAGATTTGGGAGCGTATAAAGGCCCCCCAGTGTCATTTATTTTGAATCCGGAAATCAAACCAATTGTACTGAAAGCTCGTCGGGTACCATTTGCTCTCAAAGAGAAAGTGGATTGTGAATTAGACAGACTCATTACACAAGGTGTGTTGGAACCAGTAACACACCCGCAGTGGGCGACCCCTATTGTCGTTGTTCTCAAAGGCAGTGGTGAAGTTCGAATTTGCGGGGACTACCGTAACACTATCAACAAGGCGCTGCGAACCAATACTTACCCTGTTCCTTGTGTGCAGAATATTTTAGCAGCTCTAGCTGGAGGAAAAATTTTTGCAAAACTGGACTTGCAACAAGCCTACCTACAACTTTCAGTGGACGCCGAGGCTGCAGAAGCACAAACCATCATAACACACAGAGGGGCATTCAAGTGTTCGCGACTCCAGTTTGGTGTCTCCGTTGCCCCACAGATTTTCCAACAATTCATTGATGCGAGGCTAGCTGGAATACCTGGTGCCTTGCCGTACTATGACGACATTCTCATAGTGGGTACATCGGATTCAGATTTGGAGATCAAAGTGCGAGAAGTGCTTCAGAGATTCAGTGAGGATGGACTACACTTACGAAAAAACAAGTGTGTTTTCAGTACCAAGGAAATAACATTCCTCGGATTCCATATAAGCGCTGCCGGGATACAGCCAACAAACGATAAAGTGACAGCTATTGTCAATGCACCTGCACCAAAAAACACAACAGAGTTGCAAGCGTTCCTGGGACTTGTGAACTTTTATCATATGTTTTTGAAAGATAAAGCCACATTGGCCGAACCTTTACATCGACTCTTGCACAAGGACTGTCCATGGCACTGGCACAAAGAAGAGGAATTAGCCTTCAAGAAGATTAAAGATATCCTAGTGAGTGAACCCCTGCTTGGACATTATGACGAACATCGACCACTGTACCTCACTTGTGATGCTAGCCCTTATGGCGTGGGGTGTGTGCTCAGCCAGCCGAATAATGAAGCAGTGGATATGCCAATAGCATACCATAGCCGTACCCTGTCTCCATCAGAGAGAAATTTCGCACAACTGAACTTTTATATCTATACATAGCAACCTGAAACCGACGTAGAACAATATACTGGAGGTTTAACCATACTCAGTACACAACACTCCTCCCTTCTAGAAAATATCACTTGGTATAATTTTCTAAATATTGTGGAGGCCGACGATTCCTTGTTGGTCTTCCTGGCGGCTCGAGGCTTGTATCACCTTGATGCCCTCGACACGAGTGAACCAAGTCCAAGACCTTTGGAGATGGACATTGAAGAGCCCAACCGAGAACATACTGCCAGGTTTTCAAGTACTAAAGACGAAGGTGATACAAGCCTCGAGCCGCCAGGAAGACCAACAAGGAATCGTCGGCCTCCACAATATTTAGAAAATTATACCAAGTGATATTTTCTAGAAGGGAGGAGTGTTGTGTACTGAGTATGGTTAAACCTCCAGTATAATGTTCTACGTCGGTTTCAGGTTGCTATGTATAGATATAAAAGTTCAGTTGTTAATAATATTGGTTTTGTGAGCCACATTAAATGCAAATGCATGTTATCTGAATTCGATTATTGACTTCATATATAACAGCATACTAGTCTTCTTGGCATTATTCCCTCCTCTGTTACCAGAACTTTTTGATTTTTCTGATCACTCTAATAGTGTAATGCTTTCTCGTAAGCACATAACTGGTTAATAAAGTTATCAATAGTTCTTTCTTGTTTAGACATCAACATCCAGTTCGATTCGGAAGGAAAATATTTTTCTGGTAATGTACCTAGAATGCATATTAACAGTAGCTTCTACAGGTCACAGTGGCAGTCTCTGCCATTTGAAACTTTTTCTCTCCTCAATTCATTTTGTAAGCTATTCCATGAATTTTTCAGTTTCGATGTATGAGTCACTACATCATCTACAGGATTTTTAGTATAACCAAAGAACTCTGTACATAAATCATAGGTTTTGTCTCCGACAGATCCATCATATAATCTATGAAGTTCGAGCCATACCTCATATGCACTTGTGAAGCGCATTACATTCTGAAGAGTGTCTTCCGTCATGTTGGTAGTAATTATCAAGAGTGTGTTGCTGTCGGCTCTGATGAAAGCATCAAAAACTTCTTGATACTTCTTCTTCCGTTCATTACTCGCAGGCTCTTCCAAGGTTTGAGGCATCTTAAGTCTACCTTCAAACACGTCTAGTGCTCCGGGTATTCCACGTAGCAGCGCACAAAGCTTATATCTCCAGGTCATTCAGTTACTTTATTTTTCTAAGGAACCAATCTGCACTCGTGTTGACTCTATATCTTGACTATAGACTATAGAGTGAACGATGGGTTTGATACTGGTCTTTTCCTGTACTTACAGTTCACTACCAAACTTTTTCCAGCCTATAATTGATGAACACAGGAACCACGCTCTGCTACCATGTTGAAGTTCGTGATCGTATTCAATACATTTCAGAGTAAATCTGAATAAAGACCAGCTGACACTGATAGTGACAAATATTCTATTATATTTTCCGCCTCGTTCTCGAGATCACAAGTGTAGTTCCCCTACTCCACGCTAGGTGACGCCACAAATTTAAAGAAAGTAAGTCTACCGGTGTCTCTATCTTGGTTGCATCATCTCTGTCTCATCATTTCCCAGAATCGTAATTCCTTTCTTTGTGCTAGAGTAGACGCAACGCATTAGGGAAATTTACAATCCAAAAACATCAGTGAATTCGAAGATTTCACCAAAATGGAAAAACATCGGTGAAGAAGATACTCTACGAGTGATTCTAAAGATTCAGAAGACATGGGCTGAGTTTTTGAGAAGTTCATAAAACGATATAAACACCGTAATTCGAAAACATCAACAGATTCAGAATCCGAAGGCTCGGCAAAAGAAAATGGCGGATACAGAAGACGGGACCGTGAACGTTCTAGACATGGGTCCATTAGATATTATGAAAACAAATTCTATTCTCCATCACTCTGCAGAGTCTGCAGAACCTTCAACAGAACCTCAGCATCAACAAACAAAGTTCTCAGGTGTAGATGATAACAGTAGGTGCGTTTTGTTGCTCACTCTGAGAAGAGAGCGAATAAGCATGCAAGAAAACGGCGAGAGCAGAGCTCCGAGAAAACAGCTCTCTGTCTCTCTTGGTTGATTTCTCATCAATTTTTGAGGTTATATTTGGTTCACCGAATTTTATACTTTTTCCAGATTCCTGATGGAGAAAAAATTCCATTTATTATCTTTTATGCCATGGGTTCACCACAGAATGACAATACTATTATATTTCGATAGTGATGAATTATTACATCCTCGAATCCTTCGAGAAATCATTTCGAGGTTGTTTTTATATTCCCATATTTTGAGGAGTTTTCCCCGTTTTCTTATTGTTTTAATTACAGGTTCACCACTGAAAAAGTGCCTAAAATTGAAAATTACCTGGAAGTTGTTTCAAGCTTGAGGGACAAAACTTTTCAGCAGCATTTTCGCCTTTCTAAGTCAACATATGAATCAATATTGAATTATTTTGGTCCATTTTGGGATACGATCATCAAGAGAAATGAGGAAGAAGGAGGAAATGAACAAATCTCATTAAATAAATCATTGCTCATTTGTTTATGGGTGCTTGCTACACCAGATAGTTATAGGTCAGTAGCTGAAAGATTTGGTGTCAGTAAATCTACTGTTTATAAGTGCCTCATTAGAATTGTATACCTAGTAAATATCAACCTCTGTCCAAAATTCATCAAGCTTCCTTCACCTGAAGACAGAATGAACAATGCAATCCATTTCGAAGCAAGGTACAGTTTTCCAAATGTTATTGGATGTATAGATGGTTGTCACATCCCTATTCGAAGGCCTTTACATAATGGTAATGATTATTTTAATAGAAAAATTTTCATTCTGTAGTTCTTCAAGGAATATGCAAGTATGATTTGTCATTTATGGATGTTGACTGTAGATGGCCAGGCAGTGTACATGATGCCAGAGTATTCAGGAACTCTCCTGTGTTTGAAGTCCTTGAAGAATTGTGTAGTCCTAATTTTTTCATCATCGGAGATTCAGCATATCCTTGTTCAAGGTGGTTGTTATGTCCATTTGGAAATAATGGGTTGCTAACTGATCCTCAGAAGTACCACAATACAACTCTCAGTAAGACAACAGTAGCAATTGAAAATGCCTTTGCTCTTCTGAAAGGTAGATTCAGGCGGCTCAAGTATTTAGAAATGTATGACATAGGAGAACTGGTGAATACATTAATATGCTGTTGTACTTTCCACAACATCTGCCTTGCACAGAATGAAGAAGTGGATGAGTTTATGCAAGAAGGATTGGTAAATGCAGAAGTACTCCATGATGCTGTAGATTTTGAGGTTGCAGCTAATGATGGAGAAAATGCTCGAGGTGTTGTTACTGAATACCTTTGGGATTTGAGAAATGATAATTGAATCTATTAATTTCTATAATGATGTATTGTTGGATTATTTTAACTATTTTCATGATTTTCATTATGTGGAATTATTATAGTGATATTAATACACCTTTGAAACATCAGTTCAAATTTTATTTAAAAAACATAAGAACATAACATAATTAGAAAAAATAACACAACATTAAATGGTTGCTCAATGGTTCAACCCACATTTGAATTTAATGAACTAAGATTCTTTGTCATTCAAATTTTTCAAAATAGTTTCCATAAAGGATTTAAGCTCCTCATGCTGACTTTTCAGTAATTCCAACTTTTCTTTCTCTCTTCTCTCAAGATTATTTTCATGGGTTTTCAGAAAGGAGAGTAAATCTGATTTAGAACCACCCTTTTTTGAGGATTTCTTCTTCACACCTTGTTCTTTAGTTGAAGTGTCTTGAGGTTTCTTCTGTTTTTCTAAAAGAGATCATAATTTTAACTAAACAATGAGAATTATGATCAAGCAAGGCTTAGAAACATCAGGAAAATACATAATAATCCTTAAAAGAGTATAGTTCTCAATTCTGGGAAAATGGAAACAAGGAAATTTTGGAACAAAAACTTATGAATACTTAGTATAGCTAGCTACCTTATAATTTTGCTAGGAAGACCCATAAAAACAATTCATTATTTGAATTTCATTATAGCATAACTTGTACATTATTTATTTACCTTTCAACTTTTCTTCCAGCTGGTTGCGCAGATTACTATTACTAGTGTTACTCAATTGTATACTGGAACAACCAGCCTTTGGTTCAACATTTGGTCGATCACCAATAATCTCTGATATCATTTGATGGTACTTCCAAGCTTTTGGAGCATTTCCAGTTTTATTGTTATGATCTTTAATATCCTTGAATTTTCTAGCCAAACTTTTCCATTTATTTTCTGCTTGAGCAGATGTTATGATGAATTCTCCTTTACTCTGGATGTTCATGTCACAACTAATTGTGTCAAATAAAGTTTTCTTCTTGATCCTAGGATCAGTGAGTTTCAACTTATATTTATTTACGATATCAATCAGTAGTAGTGTTTCAGCCTCACACACACACAAAATAACAGGTTTGTGATAACAATTTAGACAATTCATGCCAAACCTAATAATGAATTATTCGAAAATGATAACATCACCAAAAGAATTGATATGAGTCTTCAGATCGCTGGGTCAAGGATATGTAGGTACTACACTTACTCTTATCACTATTGGAAGAGTCACAGACAATTCTTGAGGGTACCACCTCAGATACATCTTCTTGCAAGTCTTCTTGTGAATCGGATACACTGTCTAATGATAGGATTTCTTCTGATTCCTCTTCATGTTCTCCTGCAATCTGACTTTCTGTTTCTTCTGGATCTAGATGAATCCAGTACTGTGTCTGATCTAAAACACGGTTTATTTTACTGTATCTAAAGCAGGATCAAATTCCAGGTGTTGAAAATATAGCTTTTGCCATTCTTACCATTGTCCCTTTGTACCAGTATAGCATCTTTGTCATTACGAATGAACTGACCTTCGATTTCTATAAAGGAATACCCTTCGGGTAGATTCATGTTTGAAATTCCAAACAATCCCAATCCGTCAATCCAAGATGAAAACACGCATATAAAGAAGTAAATTGTTTCGAAATCATAACCTCAAACGAAAAAATTGCATTTCACGTTGTTTTTTCCACACATGATACATCAATTCACCTCTGCTCGATCGAAATCCATCGAGCAGCCAGAGCGAGTAAGTTTCATATTAAACAATAGAATAGGCCAAGAAAACGATTAGAATAACTATTCCATAATAGGGCTATAGGCAACAAAACGCACCTAGTAAGTTTCACTCCATGTAAAGAGTTTTTACATGGTATTGCCAGAGTTTGGCAATTAATATGAATTTTTGAGCTGAAGTTATTGAAGTAACACCAAGGTTCAGAGTTTGAACCACAGGTGAACCACAACTAGGGCACAACATGGCTCATTAACATAATATTCTCAGAGCTTGACAACACATGTGTATGGAACTGAGACAATTAGAAGATGATTAACCTTATTTTCAGATGTGGATGAACCACAAGAAAACACAGCTCAGCAAGAGGGAGTGGGCCCCCTTATTGAGGAGGAGGTGATCCCAATATTAGTTGAAAATGTCCTACAAGTTCTAGGAGATGATGTTATTAACATTAAAAAACTGGAGAGGTAATACATGCAGATATTGCCTCAAGGTGGAAAAACATATTGAAAAAAGGCCTGGATGCAGAAGTTCGGAGTAGCTTAATAGTGAAATACCCACCAATGAGTAATTGCTCATTAGTACTATTAGTAGAGGCACCTAAATTAAATCTAGAGGTTGAATCCTCCATGAATGAACTTGTACTTAGAAGAGATACCAGATAAGCTGATATTCAAAACCAGGTTGGTACCTGTATGGGGGCTATGGTTAGTGCCCTCACTATTTTAGTGGGACAATCAGAGAACGATTCCACAAGAAACAAAATATTCTGATTGAAAAAATCTGTGATGCAGGCAGGTTGCTGGCAGCCATACACTTTTGAGAGACCGAAGCAAGGCGTGTTTTGATACCTGCAAATCTCAATAAGAAAGCGAGCGATACTCTTACAAATGTGACTAGAGATGAATGGTTATTTGGGACCAACTTGATAGAATCAAAGATGCTAAGGCATTAGGAGAATCTAGTTCTGAATTCTGAGGTGAGGTACAAAAACAAAAGTACACCAGTAACAAGACTGAAAAATGGGCTTTAAATGCTAGAGGTCTGCCTCGACAAAATCTGAAATCCTATCATCGTCAAGGCGGACCGAAATATCAACACCAGAAGAAAAACACCAGCCAAATTCCTCACAACCGGAAATATCAATACAGGGGGGAAGAGAAGAGGAAGAAATACTAATCCCAGTAAGTAGATTTGCAGGAAGATTGGCTCTATTTATTAACGAATGGCATAAGTTGACATCAGACACCAGAATTTTATCCTGGGTTGAGGGTATACGTATTCCTTTTGTTAAAAACGTCTTTCAAACAGACGCTTCTAGAAAAATATCATGGTCAGAGGAGGAAAACGCAAATATTCAAGTTTGCATTAAACACTTACTTGATATTGGAGCAGTGGTCAGTTGTAAACCTCAAAAAGACCAATTTCTGTCAAACATTTTTTTGAGACAAAAACCTGATGGCTCATTTAGGTTGATTCTAAACCTTGAAAAACTAAAAACTTTCCTAGAAACTGAACATTTTGAGTCAGAAGATGGAAACACTACTGGAAAATTGATTTTGTAAAATTGCTTTATGTCTTGCCTGGATTTGAACGACTTTCTAATCCCTATAAATAAAAATCATCACAAATACTTGAGATTTATTTTTAATGACACTATTTACGAATTCTCATGCTTACCATTTGAAATAACAATAGCGCCATGGATTTTCACAAAATTGATGAAACCTGTAGTTTCCTTCCTGAGGGGGAAGGAACTGCTGTCAGGCATATATCTAGATCATTTATTCCCAATTGGTAACACTTTCGATGAATGTACAAGAAATGTTTTAGAAACAAGGCAGCTGTTAGAGAGACTAGGCTTTATTATAAATCTCGAAGAGAGTCTAATGACACCTATAAAAGAGTGCAAATTCTTGAGATTTCTATTCAATTCTTCAAACATGACAGTTGCACTTCCTATAGAAAGAAGAACCCGAATTATGAAATATTTTATACAGGGAAATTTGGCTTCATAAGAGACTTTGCATGTTTTATAGGTGTTCTAGTGTCAGCTTGTCCAGCATTAAAATTCGCCCCAGTGTACATGAAAATGTTTGAATTGAATTGAATATTCAGCCTTGAATAAAGTTGGAGGGAATTTTAACAAAAGCATGATAATTCCTGCTGATTTGTCAGACGATATTACATGGTGAAAAAACAATATAAAGCATTCCTATTATCATATAAAAACTGATGTATATCAATCAATGTTCTATAGATCTCATTCTATGGTATTTACATTATTACATGTGGCAACACTGTTTATATACTTGTGTTGATGGTCATATCTCTGAGTTGAATGACAGTCGTTGTTTGTTCGTTTATGTGAGTAACCACATACAGTAATAAGTATAGTCCTTTATGTAACTCGGTTTTTATTTGCAACCTACCTCACCACGATGCACACAGTTAAATTCCTATAGCATCAGGTTATGGGCCCAGTGCACAGACAAAATTATTGTTTTTGGTTCGTGGCAGTTTGAGGTACAGTTTTTTGGTGCAAATACAGTGTGAAGAGACAAGATGGTGAGTAGAAGCCAGTTGAATATTAACCAGCCCATAGAGAGGTTAATCGGTCGTGAGAACTATCACACGTGGTCCATTGCCATGGAGGCGTACCTTCAATCCGAGGATTTATGGGACACCATCAAACCCCTAACACCAAGCGACCAAGTGTCGACAGATATCAAAAAAGTTTGTAAAGCTCGTGCAAAAATCATTCTCGCTATAGACCCAATAATGTATTTTCACGTTGAAGATGAGCCAACAGCAAAAGGTGCATGGGACAAATTAAGTAGTGCCTTTGATGATAATGGACTAACGAGACGCGTGAATTTGTTATGCGAGTTGACAACTACAAAGTTAGATATGTGTTCTTCTGTGGAGAATTACGTGAACAAGATTATCTCGACGTCACATAAATTGCGCGGAAAGTTCCAGACGACTGGGTTGGGGCTTTGTTATTGGCCGGACTGCCCAGTGAGTACAAGCCAATGATAATGGGCCTGGAAAGTTCTGGAGTGAATATCTCAACTGACTTAGTCAAGACAAAAATCCTACAAGAAGTGAAATCGGGCAACACCGTAAATTCTGATGAAGCCTTCTTCGCTTACAATTCGCATTCCCCCCGCTCGTACAGCCACAGGGGCTGTACAGCAAAATCTCGTGGACGTAATGGAAGAGGACCTAGTAGCAGTGTCCGCTGTTATAGTTGCAACAAATACGGACATTTGGCTAAAGACTGTCCAACTCCAAAGGGCCATAACACGAGGGCGTGTACGTGTACATGTTCGACAGAGACAGAAGCGGATCAAGGTCAGGATTCCGATGACACTGATGACAATGATGACAATGATGACATTGTTTGTGCTTACCTTGTTTTAACACTTTTGACAGCAGCAGAAAGCAGCAGCAGCAGCAACAGTAACAGTAAAAGCAATGTCCATTGGATATTAGACTCTGGTGCCTCAAAACATATGTGCCATGATCGAAAAATTATACAAAATCTTCGAAATTCTCCTACGGAGAATGTTACTGTCGCAAAGGTGGAAGTGCAAGGACAAGGCGAGGTGAAATTGAAAGTCATGAGTGCAAATGGCACAGAGAAAATATGCTTGCAGGATGTCTTATATGTGCCAAAACTTGCCTCAAACTTGATTTCTGTGAGATGCCTAACACAAAAAGGGTGTACTGTATCTTTTGAAGGAAACACTTGTAAAATATTTAACAAGAAAAACCAAGTTGTTATGACGGCAAGTTTAATGAAAAATGGTGTGTATGTACTTGATCTTGAAAAGCCTAATGTATATTTGAATCAGCCAAATGTTGCCCTGAGTGCTGTGAGTGATGACATTGATACATGGCATCGTAGATTAGGACACTTAAATCTGCACTATATGCAACAATTACGTGACCAAGTAGCTACTGGAATACATTTCCTTAGTGGTAGTAAACTACTTCAATGTGAGAATTGTGTTTTCGGAAAACTCAACAAAAAACCATTTCCCCTCAATGTCAAGAGGGCAACACATAAACTAGAGCTTGTGCATACAGATTTGTGCCAAGTAAGTGAACCATCAATTGGAAATGCCAAATATTTCCTGACATTTCTGGATGATTTCTCAAGGAAAATATTTGTGTACTTTCTAAAAACCAAAGATGAAGTGTCCAAGATTTTTTTACATTTCATCAAATTTGCTGAAAATCAAAGTGACTCCAAAATAAAGACTTTAAGAAGTGACAATGGTCGTGAGTACGTTAATGAACAGTTGAAAGGAATCTTTGATGGAGTAGGAATAAAACATGAGACCTCAATAGCTTACAACCCTCAACAGAATGGACGAGCTGAACGGGTCAACAGGATTTCGTTGGAGAAAACTAGATGCATGATGGCTGATGCAAAATTGGAGAAAAAATTTTGGGCAGAGGCCATAGCTACGGCAGCTTACCTATCAAATAGGTCTCCAAAAAGATGCCTACAAGGAAAAACACCTGAGGAACTTTGGACAGGTTGTAAACCAAATTTGTCAAACCAACAAATCTTTGGTTGCAGAGCATATGCTTATATCCCTGATCACCAAAGAGGTAAATTAGACCCTAAGGCTCAGGAATATATAATGCTGGGGTACTGCACTAACCAGAAGGGCTACAGATTATGGAATAAACAAACTCAAAAAATAATCAGTAGCCGAGATGTGGTATTTTTTGAAAAAAGTTCAGAAAAACAACCACAAGTCGTGTACTTGCCAGTCGACCAAGAAACACATGATAACTCCCAGCAGAAAATAAATAA